TATGGCCAGTAAGAAGACGTGCCGCTGCGTTCTGAACTAGCTGGAGGCGTCTAATTGAAGCCTGATCCATACCCACATACAGAGCATTGCAGTAATCCAGTCTCGAGGTAACAAAGGCGTTAATAACCCTTTCTAGGTCTTTAAAAGATAAAAACGACTTGGTCTTAGCCAATAGTCGTATTTTGAAAAAGCAGGTCTTGACTACAGTGCTAACCTGCTTATCAAATTTAAAGGCGCTGTTGAAGGTCACTCCAAGGTTCATGACAGAGGGGAGGATATTTTTATTGAGGGAGCCCAGAATATCAACCGGGGAGACTGTTGGTTGGGGTCCAAAAAAGATGACCTCGGTCTTGCTCTCATTGAGGGTAAGGAAGTTTTGGCTCAGCCAGGATTTTATCTCCATTAAGCAGTCCTTCAACTGCTGTAGTGAATTGGCATTTTGATTGAGAGGCAGGTACATCTGTACATCATCAGCATAACAATGGAAGGGGAGATTATGTTTTGTGAGAATTGAACCTAGGGGCAGTATGTACAATAGGAAAAGGATGGGGCCCAGAATCGAGCCTTGGGGAACCCCACAGGTAAGAGGGGCTTTGGCAGAGGAGAAAGCACCTAACTGCACTGAGAAGCTACGGTCCGTCAAATAAGACCTGAACCATGCAAGAGCAGAGCCTGTAATGCCTGCGGACTGTTCAAGCCGTGACAACAGGATACTATGATCCACAATGTCAAAGGCAGCAGTTAAGTCTAACAGCACCAAGACAGCTGGGCTGCCTGAATCGGCGGCTAAGAGCAGATCATTAAAAACTCTTAAAAAGGGCTGTTTCAGTGCTATGCATAGGTTTAAAGCCAGACTGACATTTTTCGTGGATGCCATGCGTGGTTAAAAACGACTGCAGCTGGGCGTAGACTACTCGCTCCAAGGCTTTAGATAAAAAGGGTAGCTGGGAGATGGGCCTGAAATTTACGAGAATGGAGCGATCGAGATTTTTCTTTTTAAGTAGTGGCTTAACCACGGCATGTTTGAAGGCAGCTGGGACACATCCTGAGCTAAGAGAGATGTTTACAAGCAATAAAACACTTGCTCCAACTGATTCAAAAACTTCTCTAAGGAAACGAGAGGGAATACTGTCTAAGATACAGTTTGTCGGCCGCAGGTGCTTGTTAGGAACTTGGTTACACAAGGATAAGGACTCAAATGCACGACCCGGGAGACATAGATAAAGTATAAGTAATATACTTTTATTTGCCAAAAGGATATACAAAAAGAAAAAACACTCTTTGTGAGGTGACAAAAATAAAGAGTTTCAATAAGGCTCAACAAAAAAACGCTCACAACGTGAGGAACAAAACTTACAAAAAGTTTTCAGAAGCATGAATCAGGCATGTGTCAAGAGAATGAAAAACTGATGAGCAGAGTTCTGACATGAGGACAGAACAAGACGAACTGACACTGAACACTGGGAGACTTTGGAATTTAAACACTCAACAACAAGACACAGGTGAAAACAATCAGGGGCGGGGCTGACACTGATGAGGGCGGGAAAACACATAAGGAAAGGGAGTCAAGGAACCTGAAATGAGACGTGACAAAAACAAAACAGGGAGTGAAAACAATACAACATAAACATGAAACATGACTGACTAACACTTTTGACGGTGCACAACAGTACCCCCCCCCTCTAGGGCCGACTCCTGACGGCCCAGGCCGATCATAAAAATCCTGAATCAGGGTTTTGTCCACAATGAATCTCGCAGGAACCCAGCACCTTTCCTCAAGACCATAACCCACCCAATCCACCAGGAATTGCTTGCCTCGACCCCTATTGCGGACCTCCAGCAACTTGCGGACCTTGTACGTTAGGCCACCTTCGAAGAACTGGGGTGGTGGAGGGGGCTTGGAGTCGGGAATAAGTGTGCTCTCATAAACTGGCTTTATCTTGCTGATGTGGATTGTTGGATGTACCCCCATGGATCTGGGAAGTCTTAGGCGCACAGACACAGGATTGATGACTTTCGACACCGGAAAAGGCCCCACAAACCTTGGTGCCAACTTCTTGGAAGCCACCTGAAGTGGTAGGTCCTTGGTGGAAAGCCACACCTTTTGACCCGGTTTGTAGATGGGAGCGGCCCTGCGGTGGACGTCTGCTACAGCCTTCATCCGAGTCGAACTTCTAAGAAGAGATTGGCGAGCTCCAGCCCAAACTCGGCGACAGCGTCTAATCAAGGCGTGAGCCGATGGTACCGTAACTTCCCCTTCGTTGGTTGAGAACAGCGGAGGTTGATAACCATTGGTACAATGGAAAGGAGAGAGACCTGTGGCCGCCGTGGGAAGAGTATTGTGAGCAAACTCAACCCAAGTGAGGTGGTCGCTCCAGTTGGTCTGGTTCTGGAAAACGAGACGGGGTAGTGTAGTCTCCAGTTCCTGATTCAGGCGCTCCGACTGTCCATTCGATTGAGGGTGGTAACCTGAAGACAAGCTGACAGTAGCGCCTATGAGTCTGCAAAACTCCTTCCAGAAGGCTGAAATGAATTGTGGACCCCTGTCGGAAACAATGTCATTTGGGAATCCGTGGATCCTGAATATATGGGTCATCATGACCTCTGCGGTACCCTTGGCAGAGGGGATCTTGGTTAGCGGAATGAAATGAACCATCTTGGAGAACCGGTCCACCACTGTCAGGACCGTAGTTTTGCCTCTGGACGAGGGGAGACCTCTCACAAAGTCCATAGATATGTGTGACCAGGGACGTTGAGGAATCGGCAGCGGTTGGAGCAAACCCATCTTGACCTGGGACGAGGTTTTATTGCAAGCACACACCGGACAAGCCGTTACGTTCTCCTGCACATCCTTCTTCATGGCTGGCCACCAGAAACGCTGCTTAATCCTGCACATAGTCCTTTTAATTCCAGGGTGGCACGAGAGCACAGACGTGTGAGTCCAGTGGATGACCTTGGAGTGGAGAGACACAGGAACAAAAAGCAGGTGGTTTGGACACTTGCTAGGTGCTGGGTTCAATATATTAGCCTGTTTAACGTCCAACTCTATTTGCCAGGAAAAAGCTCCGACCATACGGTTTAACGGAAGGATGGTCTTGGGCTCTACAGAAAAAGGTTCTGGTTCGAAAAGGCCAGACAAGGCATCAGGCTTTTGATTCTGAGATCCGGGGCGGAAAGAGAGAGTGAAATTGAACCTACTGAAAAATAGAGTCCATCTGGCCTGCCGAGAGTTGAGGCGTTTAGCCTTTCTAATATACTCCAGGTTCTTATGGTCTGTCCAGACTAAGAACGGCTGTTCTGCCCCCTCCAACCAGTGTCTCCATTCCTCAAGAGCAGCTTTTAAAGCTAACTGTTCCTTATTCCCCACATCATAGTTCTTCTCTGCCGTCGTCAACTTACGCGACAGGAAGGCACATGGGTGTATCCTGTTGTCCTCCAAGGATTTTTGGGACAAAACGTCTCCAATTCCCTCATTGGAAGCATCGACCTCGACCACAAACTGGCGCTGGGGATCCGGAATGGTGAGAATGGGAGCTGTGGTGAACTTCTCCCTGAGGAGCTGGAAAGCAACGTCAGCCTGGGAAGTCCACTTGAAGGGAACTTTAGGAGAAGTTAGAACATGCAGAGGAGCAGCTACAGAACTGAAGTTTCTTATAAACTTTCTGTAGAAGTTTGCAAACCCTAAGAACTGCTGAACCTTCTTCCTGGAGTCTGGTGTTGGCCACTTGGAAACTGCACTGACTTTAGTAGGTTCCATCTGAATCTGGTTTGGTGAGATTATATATATCCTAGAAAGGCCACCTTTTCTACGTGGAACTCACACTTCTCTGTCTTGACATACAATTGATTTTCGAGTAGTTTCTGCAGAAGCTGACGGACATGGTGAACATGGGACTTAGAGTCTGGTGAGAAAATCAAAATGTCATCAAGGTACACAAACACAGAAACATTCAAAAATTCCCGCAAAACCTCATTCACAAAACCCTGAAACACAGCCGGTGCATTACACAGTCCAAAAGGCATCACAAGGTATTCATAGTGACCGCTCTGAGTGTTAAATCCTGTTTTCCACTCATCCCCTTCCCTTATTCTAACCAAGTGATATGCATTTCTTAAGTCCAGCTTGGTAAAAATCTTGGCAGTCTGAAGTAGCTCGAAAGCAGAGGACATGAGTGGCAGAGTATAGCGGTTTTTCACCGTAATGTCATTAAGAGGGCTGTAGTTTATGCAAGGTCTCAGAGAACCGTCCTTCTTTCCTACAAAAAGGACGGATAATTCCTGATTTAAGAGACGTGGAAATGTAGTCGTCCATTGCCGCTCTCTCTGGCCTTGAGATCGAATACAGTCTGCCCTTGGGAATGGGAGCCCCCGGTAGGAGATTAATGGGGCAATCAAAAGGTCGGTGAGGAGGTAGCGACATGGCTTTTGATTTGTTAAAGGCTTCCTTTAGGTCGTGATAACATAAAGGTACTTTCTGTAGGTCAGGATAGTCTGGGTGATCTATGACGATCCTACTAGTGTCTGTTGGTGCCTTAACAGAGCGTGAATGTTTACACCTGTTAATGCAATCCTCTCCCCACTCCTTAATTTTTCCTGAGAGCCAGTCAATGTGTGGGTTGTGGATTTTTAACTACGGAAAACCCAAAATAATCGGATGCTGAGCAGATTCAAAAATGTGAAACTGCATAACTTCAGTGTGGTCATTATTTACAGTAATCTGGATAGGTTCTGTGCAGTGGGTTACTGTAAACAACAAACGGCCGTCTAAAGCACTGGCGTTAATGGGGGAAGATAGAGGAACAGTCTTTATACAAAGCTGTTTGACTATGCCCCAATCCATAAGACTTTCGTCCGCTCCTGAGTCTATTAGCACCCCTTGGTCAATGACCTGATCATTAATAAAAATGTTTACCTTGGTAACTGGTCGAGGAGGAAAGTCTGTGGGAAGCTTGCTCACCAGCGCCCTCCTCTTGGCTGGTAAGATTGATCTTTTCCCGGACATGACGCGAGTTGGTGACCCGACTGGCCACAGTAGAAACAACACCTCTCTCGTAGCCGGCGCTGTCTCTCCTCCACGGAAAGCCTGGTCCTTCCCAACTGCATGGGTTCATCTGCAACAGGCGGAGGTGCTGTCCTCCAACGGACCGAATCCGCTGGCTGGAAAACCTCCTCCGGTGGAAAGGCTCGTTGAGAAAAGCCCTGGAAACTGGGATGTCCATCACGGCTGCGTCGACGTTCTCTCTCTCTTTCCCGAAGACGGTTGTCGATCCGGATGGAAACGGCGATGAGAGACTCCAGGTCCCGTGATACCTCCAGAGGAGCCAGCTGGTCCTTGATTGGATCTGATAACCCAGTCAGAAAAGCGTCGCGAAGAGCCAGAATATTCCACCCGCTGTCCGCTGCTGCCGTGCGAAACTCGATAGCATAACCCACCACCTGGCGATTATGCTGGCGCATCTGAAGTAGTCTTCGGCTGGCTTCTGTAGCAGGTGATGAATGGTCAAAAATACGACTCATAGTGTCTGTGAAGTCGGGTAATGAGTAACATAGTTCCGTGTCTCTGGACCATTCTGCAGTAGCCCAGGCTGCAGCTCTTCCCGTTAAATGGGACACAATGAACGCCACTTTACCATGGTCTGATGAAAAAGCCCCTGGGTTGTGTTGGAAATGCAGGTCGCACTGCACCAGGAAAGCTCTGCAATTTATGGAATCACCGGAAAACCTCTCCGGGAGAGCCAGCCGTAGTGAGGAAGACACAGCCTGGCTTGGATTGACAGCGTCAACAGGATCCGCGACATGCAGGCGGTCAGCTGTGACTGACGTCATCGGCGGAGCAGTCTGAAGCAGGGGCGGCGCCAGGGGGGAGCTAGGGGGTGCTGAAGCACCCCCCAGGATTGCCAAAGCACCCCCTAAGCACCCCCAAGAAATATGTGTTTTGTTTTTTTTCGAAAATTATTAATATTATTTTTATTAAATTAAATCAGAAAAATTATTGATTACATCAATGCAAATGTGAAACAAACAAATGTTTGACCAAAAACATAAAGCCAACACAGGTGATATGATTAGGCCAATGGCCAGCACCCATTAGATTTTTGACCTACCCATAGGCTAAATTACTTTGTGACATTTGAGTGACTTCCTGTTAGCTGGAGCCCCACATTATTTGCTAACAGCAAAGTGACAAATGGATCGTTTTTTAGTCCTTAAACGTCCACATGTGGACACTCAATCAAAACCAACTGAAAGTGAGAGGGATTCTGCACATAATAGGCCTCGTGAGTACAAGTAGCTTACTTCTGGGTCTGTTTCATTCAAGCTCTGCTCTGTGTGTGTGTGGCATGAGCCATTTTGTGTGCGTGCGCAAGCGAGCGAGAGCTCGCGCACCGGTGGGTATCTACCGGAGATCGTTGTGGTTAGCATCTGGTGCTCGCTAGCCAAGCTAACGGATATAAGGAGCTTTTTCAACAACAAGGTGGAGGGAGAACTCTCTCCTGTCAGACGGAGAGTCTCAGATAACCTCAGCTCAGGTGAAGTAAAGGACTCTCAGTGTTTAGATAGTTAACTTTAGTCTAGTTATCTCAGTGGGTCTGAAACGGTTTGTTTTAAAAGGAGAGTGATTTATCTATAAAGAAATAGAAAATCTGTTTACAGTTCTGTTTCATATGTATGTTGAGAGATACAGTATATCCATAGATCTCTTCATTTTGTTCTCAAAGTGCACCAGATTGATGCTTTTAACTTCAATATTTAAAAAAAAATCTTCTGTAGCGCTGGTGCATTAATGGGAAACCCTTAATGTTTGAGCACCCTCTATGAAACGTCAAGCTACCCCACAGCACCCCCTAGAGAAAATCTCTGGCGCCGCCACTGGTCTGAAGGTGAGTGATGAACTGCTGCATCTGATCCGTCAGCTGTCGTATCTGTGCAGAGACGGAAACTTGGAGTTCGGCCTGGTTTCCTACCAGTGCCTGCACTCCTTGGCTGATTAATCCCAGCTGTTCCTCGTGATGAAAAATCCTCGCGCCTTGGGCTGACAGGGCGGCGTGAAGAGCTTTTGGGTCGGCTGAGTCCATTGTGGTCAGTTCGTTCTGTTAGGAACTTGGTTACACAAGGATAAGGACTCAAATGCACGACCCGGGAGACAGAGATAAAGTATATGTAATATACTTTTATTTGCCAAAAGGATATACAAAAAGAAAAAACACTCTTTGCGAGGTGACACAAATAAAGAGTTTCAATAAGACTCAACAAAAAAACGCTCACAACGTGAGGAACAAAACTTACAAAAAGTTTTCAGAAGCATGAATCAGGCATGTGTCAAGAGAATCAAAAACTGATGAGCAGAGTTCTGACATGAGGACAGAACAAGACGAACTGACACTGAACACTGGGAGACTGGGGAATTTAAACACTCAACAACAAGACAGGTGAAAACAATCAGGGGCGGGGCTGACACTGATGAGGGCGGGAGAACACATAAGGAAAGGGAGTCAAGGAACCTGAAATGAGACGTGACAAAAACAAAACAGGGAGTGAAAACAATACAACATAAACATGAAACATGACTGACTAACACTTTTGACGGTGCACAACAGTGCTTGACTACTTCCGAGAGAGAAGAGAGGGATACAGGCTCAAAATGGTCGAGGACAGCAGGGCACAGAAAGGGAGCAGGATCTGGGGTAACACTAGTATAGGCTAGCCTTAGAGCAGATACTTTTTCGATAAAAAATGTAAGAAATGTATCGCAGAGAGTAGTTGATGGCACAATTGGAGAGGCATCACAAGGATTAATGATCAAATTGAGGACATTAAAAATAACTTGAGGTTTATGGCTATTTTTGGAGATTAACAGAGAAATATACTCTGTTTTGGCTGCTTTAACTGCCATCTGATAATCGGAAAGGCAAGCGCGAAGAATTTCTAAGGAGACATGAAGTTTATCCTTTTTCCATTTTCTCTCTGAACGCCTACAAGCGCGTCTAAAAGCGCGAGTACAATCGTTGAGCCACGGAAGGTAGGAAGGTTCCTAAGCTAAATGGACTATTGGAACGCAACCATGGGTTGCGTTCCGATAATCCAAAAATCAGCTCCTAAATTCTAACCCTATCTCCTATTCCTTGACCTCTGAGGAAACGTCACGGGGTTAAGGGATAGTGGATAGGAGAATTCAAAAGGACTTAGGAGAAGAGACCGCGGTACTTTAGAGAATCCGAATGCACTTTCACTATCCGACGTGTTTATGATGCGCCAGCGGACGTCATGAATGTGCGTCTGCTGCTGTGGGGAAACTACAGTTTTCTATACAGCGGACTACAACATGGATGTTTAATAAGAATGAGGGACTACTGTAAACTCATCTAGAGACTCTGCACCGTGCTCTGATGCTGTTGTTTTATGCTTTATGAACGTGGACAACAGAGGAACATATTCTTCATGACCAAAGTTGGAATTGAAATAAAAAAGGAAAGTGAAACTTATGCTCGTCACCCTCTCCCTCCGGTCCACATTAATACAAATGATCCCAATACGTATGATTGTATGAACTATGAAAATATCTTAAAATCAATACAAATGTATTTATTATAAACGTTAGTCCTTAACATCTATCACTGTGTATATCACCATTCAAACATCTTTTAAAAGTTGAACAAACCCCACACAGCTCAGTAACAACTGTGAAATGTTGACTTTATTTGATCATTTCAGTAAAAACTAACGTTCATATTTCTCTTTTTGATTATAATACTGATGAACGTTCAGAAAAAAGCAATTTGGCAACTTACCACATACGTTTTAAAATGCTTAATAAGCACCGTAACTTTCATGATATCATTTCTCGGTCATAATCGGTTGTTTCCGTGAACGGCCGACTGTTGAGTGACGGCAAATGCTGCGGCTGCAATGCATTGTGGGGCAGCATTTTCTCCTCTCCTTTCGGTTAGGGAGGTCCAGTGGTTCCTAAGCTAAAGGAGGTTATAAAGGAAGTTTGAAACCTCCTTTCCTTTCATTTGGAGAATTGGAACGGCACTTATCATGGCTGCCAGTGACGTACTTCCGGGTCCTTTCACTCCGTTAGGAAGGTTCCTAAGCTAAATGGACTATTGGAATGCAACCCAGGGTTGCGTTCCGATAATCCAAAAATCAGCTCCTAAATTCTAACCCTATCTCCTATTCCTTGACCTCTGAGTGAAACGTCACAGGGTTAAGGGATAGTGGATAGGAGAATTGAAAAGGACTTAGGAGAAGAGACTGCGGTACTTTAGAGCAGAGGTTCTCAATTGTTTTTCAGCCAAGGACCCCTTACAAGATAGAGAATACACCAAGGACCCCCTCATTCTGATTTGTGATTTTGGGCTATATAAATAAAAATGTACTTGATTTGACTTGTATGTCCCTTGGAATAATCTGACGTAGCCTATTTTTTACACTTCTATAGTCTTAGTTATGTGAAAGAACAACACAAGAGAAATGTATTAGAAAGATATTGGATATGTATTAAAAATATTTGCACCATCTCAACACAGAATACCCATAAAACAATCAATCAATTAGCTGCAAGTAACACTGTACCTAAAGAAAATATCAAAGGTTAATCAAGAGGAAAAGTGATCATTTGAAGTGCATTTCAGAACATACACACACACACACACACACACACACACATACACATACACACACACACACACACACACACACACACACACACACACACACACACACACACAGGGGTTAAAGTGGGCCGGAATGATCCAGAACAGCGTTCCGGCACCTTCGATTAATAAGTAAATAAATCTGATTGGCAGTTTCATACATAATAATGTCAAGCGAGTTCACAGGGCTGCCAACTCTCACACAATTGACATTTTTCACACGCTCTCAGCCACAAGTCCGTTTTCTCAAGCAGTGAAAAACAAATTCATAACTGATAATGTCATGGTGCGAAAAGAAGACACTTCTGCACATTGCGCAACAGCAGCACCATGACCATCTGAATAGCGAGAAATATACACAAATGTATTATATTGTAACTTATTCCCATGCATGTTGCACAAAGTAATCAGTCTCACTTCTGCATCTCTCCCTCTCCTCTCGCGCCATGCGCACCAGGCAGGAGTGATAGTGAGTTACCATGGTTACGGGGACGCTCTGTGTCTCTGTCGCTCTGAAACTTCTCGCGATTCCCAATAATACGTTTTTAGTAATATAACATAATTTTACAGTTTTGGTTAACATTATACAGGGTTAATGTTTCT